CTATGAGTGTAAATACTGTTGGAATAACTGATGTACAAAGGTTGATTGCATGTTTGTAAATAATAAAACAATTGGGATGATGGCTTAACTTAGGGGGGAGGAATTGTAATGTATTGAAACGATTACATGAATCATCTCATAGGGCTCCTATGTTAAGCTTCGAGCCAGACCAGGGCTCCTCTGAGCGAACTTCCTATTGGTCGCTTCGTAACAGCGACCAATCAGAACGGTACCATTCCCTAGGAGGGAAAGACTCCCATTGGTCTTTATTCTAGCAATCTCATTGGTTGTTATTTGTAAATAGGCGTGGCTACATTAGCCCGGTTATGTTTAAAAGGAGCATAAGCTCCCACTGTTTTCTGTTCTGGTTTCTTACTGAGTTAGTGCTTGTTCGTTACTTCCAATAAAGCTGAATCACTTGCTGAATCACTGTACGAGTCCTTTGTTAGCGCGATCTAACAGAGCGCATTGCTCAGCCAATGGGATAGCTGGAAACGGCCAATACACTCAGAGGATTAGTATATAGAGATGCTATGGATATGTCTTACATAAAGTTTGTATACTGTATATTTTGAGTAAAACCTGGTCTTTCATTTAATTTATTGTGAAAAGGGGTGAAAAACTACATTGAAAAAGTCCTCAGACTTTATCATGCTATACATTTTAAGTGAGAAAAACTTTGTCTCAAGAAGTATTTCACTTATTCTAAAAGATTTTTTTTTCAGTGATCCCCCAAATTTCCCAATATTTCACTGGAAAAACTGAAAGCCCTTGGACTTTTTCCATGTGCTACATTTGGAATTAGCAAAATGCTTCTCAAGGCAAGATTTTCTCAGTCAAAAAGAGAAAATATTTCATAGTCTCCCCCACCCCCGCTTTCCAAAAGTTTCTCGGGGGGGGGGGGGACCACACAACGGTTTTCTCGCCCAACTTTTACATTGTTTTTTTCAGGGGGCCTTCATACCTCTAGGCTTGACTTCACCTGGTTAGTAACCTGAGAATGTGATCCTTTCTCTTCTAGGATATTTCAGTGTTGCTGACTCTACTCAGCACTTACTACTGCACTATATTCACATTACTATTCTGCAACAGTCGTTCCCACGGCAGTGACAGAAGTGGGTGGCATATTATGACCACTTTGGATTTGTCTCCAGAAAGTCAGCCAGGGATACTGGCCTCTTTGCATGCTTCTCTTCCCTGCCACAATCCCCATTCTCAGTAGTAATCAATACAGGAGGGCTTTTCCCATTCATTCTCCAAATCTGTAAGCCTTGGAGACCACTGCTAAAAATCCTTGCTTTGTATTTTTCCTCTTCAGATGAGAAAAGAGCAACATTCTAATCAATTTCAGAGTGCTTCACCCAGTACTCTTTGCTTCTGTAACATTCTGGACTATTTCAAGCCATTTCATGAAGCCCTTTATTATTTTTAAGTGATCTGTCGTTTATGCTCCTCTCCCCCATTGTTACTGTAATTAGCCCTAATTAAGTATTTCCTGATTTCATTTCCTTATTGCAGCCACAGGCTGTTCAAATATAATCAGGGAAGGGACTGCATCGCAGGACATTTTAAAATGGCTGTGCAACCCGGAAATGGTGGGGGCATTACCAGCCAAATGACTTGAACATTCCTCTTTCCAAGTGCATCAATAGCATTTTGTCCACGCGCACTGGACAGACTAACGCTGCAATTCTGTTCAAAGCCAACAGTATTGCCACAAACCAAATTTGAAAAAAGATGAGGACAACACAGAAAACATATGGGTGCAACAGTCTGGTTGCCACTGCATCTGAATTCTCCCTTATAACCTGGTAAACGAACAATGGCAATTCCAGACAAAATGCCTATTGTGGAAACAGCTTGTGTGTGTTTAGGTCTCATATTCTGCTTCAGGCATAAAAGAAAACAGGTGTGTGCCTCTAAGCCAGGTGGGCAGGACTTGGACTGGCCAGGCCTAGTATAAATAGAAGGAACCTGGTTTGGTCAACAGAGCAATGCCATTTTAATTTTATTTATATCATTTATACTCCACTTTTCTCACCAAACTCAAAATAGGTCACACAGTGTGAGACAATTAAATCAATACGGATGGGACATCCAGTAAACTATGCAATAAAGTCTGGACTGTAGATACGACGTTTAAGTATTGCACTTCCGACTCCAATTTCTTCCACGCCAACAACTGATATCAAGAACCCTAGCTTGGAGCACACACATCCCACACTAGATTAAGGTCTGATCATCCTCACCTACATCAAGTATTAACAGATTCAGAGTGGTCTCACCTAAGTTAAAGCAGTAAGATTTTGATGTCATGTACATCTCCCTGTTTGAAGACTAAGAATGCAGCCTGTATAACGAATGTGAAACCCAAAGGCTGACTAAAGATAAAACAACCCATTGTGGTCAATAACACTGGCGACAGGACGGTGCTTTGAATATCAGGGCCTGATAGGATTTATGCACACACCTCTGACTCATGTTTTTAGAATGCTTACGGCTGACAATACTGCAGCACTAAGAACTAACCAGCCTGTTGGGAAATACTTCATACATTTGCAAGACAGTTGGGATTTGTCCCAGTTCTTCCAGCTTTCATATAAAAGCTTAAAGGCATCAGTTAGCAAAGGAAACAGAAATGGCAGTTTTGACATCTGAAACACACACAGGCTTTCACCTTGAGTATAAGAGAGAATCCACATCTCCCCTAAATACTCTCCTGTGAAGAAATCTGTGTGCATTTAGATGTTCACATGGCTCTCTCATGCAGTGAGTGGTATCCACTTCTTTCAGACTATAATGGCAAAGAAAGGCAAAGAAAAGGAGATGTCGTCGTCATGTGTGTTCGAGTGTTTCCCAGAGCCATCTAGCTGCATGTAGATGGAATACTAGATTCATTCAACAAGGCAGTTCTCTTTATGATCTCAGCAAAGGTCTCAACAATGATAGCTGATCTACAAAGTAATGTAAACATGGACTGACGCCACTGAAATCAGTTGAAAAGTTGTTCTAGATGGTATGGCTAGTCCAAACACCCAGCAAGTGTTGGGTGTCGGGGGACCACAGCTGGTAGGGGCCTACCAAAATGGATAACATGCTCTGTAATCTATAATCTTCGCTGTCTTTTGAGTGCTCAGAAAGCCCCTGTGCAAGGCAAGGTCAAGAACATGAAATTTATGTGAAAATTACACTCTGAATAGGGGAAGGGAAGCTTCCCTCTGTTACACCTTTTAGGTCAAACCAGAACTACCCAAAATCACCCCACCTCTAAAACAAAAAAAAATCCAGTTTTAAAAATTTATTTACTTATCTGCTGCCTTTCTCCCCAACTGGGCCCCGTGGAGGCTTAGAGCATTCTCTCCTCCATTTCATCCCCACCACAACCCTGTGATGCAGGTTGGGATTGAGAAGAAAGAGTGGCCCAAGGTCACCCAGTAAACTTCCATGGCACAAGTGGGGATTTGAACCTGCCTCTCCCAGATACTAGTCCAGCACTAACTACTACATCACACTAGCACTCATGCCAAGTATTGTTTGCCAAAGCCACTGGGACAGAAATCTAAAATAGATGTACAGTGTGCCACATTACAGTCTGAATTCCCATTTTGTCCAGGGACCATCCACTGAACCTTTATGAGTTTTTCCTCTGGATATATTGTTTGTTTGGACAGAGACAAAGCCAGACCAATGACTCACACAAAAATGCAGCGAGTGGCACCCACTGAAAATCTGGTTCCATGTGATCGCATCACCCAGTCACTCCTGATGCAGATGTAATTGCTGATTTAGCTATCCTCCAAAAAGGTTGACTGAATGAAGACACACCTTCCACTCAATTTGCATGACTGACAAGCTATTGTGCAATTCCCCATAATCTCCCATGCATTCAAAAGGAGAGCAATTTTCACTGAGATGGGGCAATCAGGATAAGAGAGGGCAAATTTAGGACTATCCCAGGTTATCTCTATGCCCAGTATATCTGAGGTGTGTATAACTACTATGCTGGAGTCCTATATATCCCAGTGTAAGGACCCCTAGTTATCCGAAGGGCTACAGGTCAACAAAGTGCCAGACCTAAACCTACTGAAACCAAGGGCTTTATGCACACCTTCGTGCATATAGTTCACGACTTCCTCATTTTATACGGCAACCCTATACGGAGTTACTCCGCCAGTGATTACCAAGTCATAACCCTTTAAGAGCATCCTTTGCTTTTCTATAGCCAGACTCCGGGAGCACAAAATAGTTTGGTAAAAGCAACCCACCAACTATGACATACTTTTTCTAAAATACCAAAACTGAGGAAAGAAATAAGGGAATCGTTTCAGGACATTCTTTTACAGGAGAAAGGCTTGGTAGCGCATTACTTTTAAGTTTTCGTCTTGAGACTCTACACAGAGGAGTTTTTGAAAAAAACAACCCCAAACACCCCACAGTAGTCAACCTAACTAATACCTGAAGCCAAAAGTTAGGAAACCTTGCGAGGCCACTTTAAAAACGCAGCTAGAATTGCACCGATTCATTAGCCAGTCCCCCGCCCCGTCCGCTGGCACGTTCCTGCGTCGTGATTCCCCCTCCCCCTCCCCGCCGGGAGGCTCTGGGAGAAAAGGCGACACACACCCCGCCCACGAGGCGCACGAGCAAAGCAGCTACAGCACCCATGTTGTTATTGCCACTGACGCCGCCGCGCGCTCCGCGACTTCAGTCTCGTCAGCGCGCGAGCACGAAGCGGCGACAGTTGGCCGTTCAAAACGAAGCCGGCAAACGGGCACGCGCCCCTTAGCCCGGCTGCCCGGCCTCAACTCTTCCCCCCTGTCCCCCGGCCTCGCCTTCCCTCTTCCCCAGCTGACGCTTGGGTGTGTCCCTAAACCCTGGCAAAAGGCAGGCGGAGGAGGAGACGGCGGCGGGGCAGGCGTAGCCCGGCTGCCACGCATGCGTGCCGCCGGCAGCCCCGCCCCCTCCCCCGCCCATCCTTTCTCGTTTTCCTTCAGTGAGGCGGCCGCTTCGCTCCCTTTCCCTTCCCTCCCCCTTTCGGCGTCCCGTCCCTCGCCGCTTCCTTCCTCCTGTCTGTGCCATGGATGGGTAAGTACCTGCCTCGCCCTGGCGCTTGGGAACGGGCGGACTCCACCCGCCTGTTGAGGAGGAGGGGAGGAGGAGGACGACGACGGACCCCCCCCCCCCCCCCCCCCCCCCC